ATCATGTGTGAAAAGTGCTTGTTAGGCTGTCTGGTGATGAGCATTTCATGTACAGTGAAGTTAATTTTATGGTTTAGGCCCCCATTTCAAAAAATATCCCAGTATTTAAGAGAAATTCTCTTTTGCTCATATCGTTGTTAAAATAAATGTTGAAATGCAAGAATTTCTAGACAGGTATATAGTGATTTTAAATAAAATGTGCGTAAGGCCAAGAATTTTCCCTTTGCTGTGTTTCTCCCCTACTCCCTTCCTTTTTGTTTTCAATGCAGCATCACCAACACATTTGAGGCCTTCACATTAAGTCTTCTGTCTTCACTCTTGATTTCTGGACCCAATTCTCCCTTTTACAAAGCCTTGATTGAATCTGGCCTTGGCACAGACTTTTCTCCGGATGTTGGGTGAGTTTATGATTAGATTAAATTAGTAGTTCTCATTGGTTGGGGGCAGTTTTGCTCCTCCACCTCCACACCCTGTCCCCGCCTGGCACTTGACAATGTCTGGAACATACATTTTTGGGTTTTGGATTGTTACAGTTGGAGGATGGGGGACCAGGAAACTGCTGAGTGTCTCATGGTGCATAGAATGGCCACCACAGCAGAGAGCTCTGGATAAGATCTACATCCCATGCCAGCCATTTATGTCCCTTAAGCAGGCATTTGTCCAAAAGAAGACACCCCTTTATGTCCCTTAAGCAGGCATTTGTCCAAAAGACACCCAGCACAGAGACAGCTTCTCCAGGGCCTCAGAATGCCATACTGTTCTCACTTAAAGGTCGTGCTATTAAGTATTAGAAACTTTAAAAATTTTATAAAACTCAGTCGTTCTCAGTTTTAAGATGTATTTTGCCATAACTCATAAGTTTAAATTTTATTTTTTGAAAAAGATATAAAACGACACGAATGTACACGGAACCAATTACTCGAGAACATTGCTTTAATGCACTTTTTGGTGGAGTCTTGGAGTTGAAAGCTCTGTGTTCTGATCTTTAAATGAAGCGTATTACGAGGGCATGATGGATGTGCCCGGATTCTAGTGCATCATTTCTGGTTTTGTCTTCTAGGTACAATGGCTACACGAGGGAGGCCTACTTCAGCGTCGGCCTCCAGGGGATTGCAGAGGAAGACATTGAGACTGTCAGAAGCCTAGTAGACAGAACGATTGATGAAGTCATTGAGTGTGTCTTGTTTGTAACAATCTGCTTTCGTTCCTCATTCCTGCCTGCTTTTTGGGAGGAGCTGAGCCTGATCCATTGTTTTGGCCTTCCGCCTCTGTCATATAGCATGCATTTGTTCATATTTAGTTGTTTAAATATTATCTCTGCTACCATCTGTTTCTAAAACTTTTATTTCTTTGCAACATCTTAGGTTTTTGTTTTGTTTTGAGACAGGGTCTCACTCTGTCCCGTAGGCTGGTGTGCAGTGACGTGATCTTGGCTCACTAATTTCCTCGCCTGCGAGCTTCAGGCGATCCTCCCACCTTAGCCTCCTAACTGGGACTAGGGGTGTACACCACCACACCCAGCTGACTTTTGTATTTTCAGTAGATAAGGGGTTTCTCTATGTTGCTCAGGCTGGTCTTAAACTCCTAGGTTCAAGTAGTCCTCCTGCCTTGGCCTCCCAAAGTTCTGGGATTATAGGCATGAGCTATTGTGTCTGACCCATCTTTGTTCTTTATTGTATTCTTTAGGAAAGGATTTGAAGATGAACGAATTGAAGCTTCACTTCATAAAATTGAAATACAGATGAAACATCAGTCTACCAGCTTTGGACTGACTCTGACATCAGTAAGTCATTTCTCAACCACTTTGCTTTTGTTTTTTGGCTTTGCTAATCTTGATTAGGACTGAAAATATAGATGGATACTGATAACGCTTTATTTGAACCTTGAAAGTTATACTTTTTTGATCGAATATAAACTTTTATAATAGACTTTTTGTCTTGTTACTAGCTTAATTGGCTTTTTGATATTTTTATGTGAAATAGATTACTTTAAATGGGTTAGGATTTATGATAACTGGTACTCTGTTATTTCCTAAAAATAATTTCAACCAGGGCTTTTTATTTTATTAGAATAAAATGGGGATAAAAGAAGTTATTTTTGTTTCTCCAACCAAAGAATTACATGACTTCTGTTATAAACAATCAAGTCTTGGCAACTTTTGGAGGTCGTACCATGTTTTTGGTACCAGCTGCGTTGTGGATGTGGAATTCTTCCTTTCAGTACGTAGCTTCTTGCTGGAACCACGATGGGGACCCTGTGGAGCTCTTGAAGTTGGGAAATCAGTTGGCTAAATTCAGACAGTGCCTGCAGGAAAATCCAAAATTTTTAGAAGAAAAAGTAAAACAGTATTTTAAGGTAAGAAAATTGGAGAGTTCATTTCTTTAATTTTGAAGTTAAATTTTATACTAATGAAAGGAATTTTAAGAATGTAATCTATACATTTAAGTAATTTCTGTTAATGGGTGACTTAATTTCTAATTAAAAATTTAATTGCTGCTGGGCACTGTGGCTCATGACATAGCACTTTGTAATCCCAGCACTTTGGGAGGCCAAGGTGGGCGGATCACCTGAGGTCGGGAGTTCGAGACCAGCCTGACCAACATGGAGATAGCCCGTCTTTACTAAAATACAAATTAGCTAGGTGTGGTAGCACATGCCTGTAATCCCAGCTACTCGGGAGGCTGAGGCAGGACTTGAACCCGGAAGACAGAGGTTGCAATGAGCCGAGATCATGCCATTGCACTCTAGCCTGGGCAATAAGAGTGACACTCCATCTCAAAAATCATAATAATAAATGCTTACATTAACTTAAAAAATTATTTTCCAGATTTTAGTGTAAGTTAGTACTTTTTTTTAGATGAACGTACATGTGTATTTTTTTTTTTTTTTTTTTTTTTTTTTTTTTTTGAGACGGAGTTTCACTCTTGTTACCCAGGCTGGAGTGCAATGGCGCGATCTCGGCTCACCGCAACCTCCTCCGCCTCCCGGGTTCAGGCATTTCTCCTACCTCAGCCTCCTGAGTAGCTGGGATTACAGGCACGTGCCACCATGCCCAGCTAATTTTTTGTATTTTTTTAGTTGAGACGGGGTTTCACCATGTTGACCAGGATGGTCTCGATCTCTTGACCTCGCGATCCACCCGCCTCGGCCTCCCAAAGTGCTGGGATTACAGGCTTGAGCCACCGCGCCCGGCCCATGTGTATTTTTAATACGTGAATATATGCATGTTTGTGTGTGGGTATGAATAAAACATCTGCGTATATTCTCTTATTAGTAAAAGAATGTAAAGTACGAGGACAGTCACTCAATTGTAACAAATATTCTGGTTTTCATGAGTGAATTCTTTTGAGGCTTATGTTTGTTTTCTCAGATATTTAGGCAGTTGTGCTTGGATGCATATTCCTCGCTTTGTACTCATTAAGGTGGTAGAACTTTGGTGAGAGAGACTGTTGTCTGCTTTGAAGGGAACTCTCCAGTGGGTTCCATTGTTTTAGACAAGAGACGTGATTCAGTAACTTGACCTGCAGTTTCTCGCAGCTGCTGTGATTTGACATAAACTTCCTGATGTCTTCTAGTCCTCTCACCTCTGTTTGTAGTGTTTCATATGGGAGCATTTTGTGCATGTGTAATTTTTTAATTGTTGAAATAGGGGAAGTGCATGAAAACACCTAACATTTATTTTTATATTACATCAACATCTATTTTGTTCTAATAATTTATAAAGTATTGAATGGGAAATGTAGTTCTAGCCTTTTAGAAGTTCATAGTAGAATGAACACTAGACAAAAAAATAAATTAGAATTCTATATTATTTTCAATTTCGACTAAAATCCAAGATCTGTGGTACTTAAAAGTGCAAACCTTTTTACAACTAAAGTGTCATGAAAATGTTTAGTATTGATATGGTTAAGACCTAATGACCATAATAATTAAAATAACCCTAATAGAGTAACAGCATATGTGAATCCTGTACCTACCACTTAGGCAGGTGTGGTGGGAAGCACTAACGGCTGCGTACCTTCATCAGCAAATCAGCTTTAGCGGTATGTTCTACGATTGCGGTTTTTAAAGTGGTAGGCAGAACTCCAGGACCAAGAGCATACCAGCAGAGGCTCGCTCAGCGTGAGGTTCCTGTAAGACCTGGTTTTCACTTGGCTTCTGTTGTCCCTGTGATTGCTGCAGAATAATCAGCATAAGCTGACTTTATCAATGAGGCCGGATGACAAGTATCGCGAGAAGCAAGCTCAGCTGGAGGCCACGAAGCTCAAGCAGAAGGTTGAGGCCCTGTCCCCCAGAGACAGGCAGCAGGTCCACGAGAAAGGTCAGAGGCTTCCTTCTGAGCCGTGCAGCTCCCTAACCTGCACTTGGGCCTGGTGGACTTGCTAGTGAGTTAATAGTTGGAGGCAAGTATTATTTCAACCAGTAGATGTCCACTGGGCACTGACAGAGCTCACATTCAATGCAGTGGGTTCAGATAGTCTCAGAAAATCGTCCTTATAGTTCAGTAGGAAAGGCAAGAATAACTGAAAAGAAATAGCTTGAAAAGACGTATTTATTTTACATATTTTGTAAATACTTTTTATTTATCAGGTGCTGTGTGTTGGAAGAGGCCTGTCCGTGGTGTAGAGGGCGTGGCCTGTGTGCAGTGTGGACAGTGAGAGCTGTGTGTTGGTAGAGGCCTGTCCCTGGTATAGAAGCTGTGGCCTGTAGGCCGGGCGCGGTGGCTCAAGCCTGTAATCCCAGCACTGTGGGAGGCCGAGGCGGGTGGATCACGAGGTCAAGAGATCGAGACCATCCTGGTCAACATGGTGAAACCCCGTCTCTACTAAAAATACAAAAAATTAGCTGGGCATGGTGGCGCGTGCCTGTAATCCCAGCCACTCAGGAGGCTGGGGCAGGAGAATTGCCTGAACCCGGGAGGCGGAGGTTGCGGTGAGCTGAGATCGCGCCATTGCACTCCAGCCTGGGTAACGAGCGAAACTCCGTCTCAAAAAAAAAAAAGGCGTGGCCTGTGTGCAGTGCGGACAGTGAGAGCTGTGTGTTGGGAGAGGCCTGTCCCTGGTGTAGAAGGCATGGCCTGTGTGCAGTGTGGACAGTGAGAGCTGTATGTTGGAAGAGGCCTGTCTCAGGCACAGAGCGTGTGTGCCAGCCACGAAGCAGCAGCAGGATTCTGTGGGACAGGCGTGGGGCACATGGGGATGGTGTGCCCACTCGGAATGTGGAGCGGTGGGCATGGAGGGAGCACAGCATGTATGGGGGAGACAGGCCGCCCAGAGGCCCTGGGGAGGGCCTGAGTGGAGGATGGGGAGTATGCTGGTGCTTCATGTATTGAGATAGGAGAACTGCCATTAGCAGTGTAACAACAGCCTCATTCAGGATAGTTTTGAAGAAAAATTGAGAAATTGAATAGCAAAAACTTCTGAGAGGCAATTGGAAACCTAAGCACAACGTGACGACCTCGGCCGGGGTGGTTGGAGTGAAGAGAAAAGTGAGAGTGGGGTTGGCGGCAGCTGGGGGAGTGGCCGGGCAGAGCTAAGGCAGGCAGGACGCCGCAGGAGAGCAGGGGCCACGTGGATCTCAGAGGTAGTTCTGCCCTTGGGAAGAAACATTTGCAAAAGTGGTGTCTGATAAGGGACTATATTTAGAATATATGAAAAACAAACAATTCAGTAATGAGAACACACAACCCAGTTAAAACATGGGCAAAAGATTTTGACAGATACCACCTAAGAGATCCTAATGGCAAATAGGCACATAAATCATTACATGGAAAATAATCTCATTACTTAGGGAAATATATCATAATTCTTAGAAAAATGCAGATTTAAACTACGGTGATAGATCGTTTACACCTACTAGAATGACTAGCATTTAAAAAAATATTGCCAGCACCAAATATTGTCAATCCTGAGAGGCAGGGGATCCCTCACATGCTGCCAAAGGAACCAAATTGGTGTGGCCACCTAGGAAACAGCGTCACAGTTCTCTCAGTGCCCACCAACACGCATGAGCCCAGAAGCCCTGCTCCCAACGCTCCTTCCACAGTGCCGGGCAACGCGCTGGACCCAGGAAGCCCTACTCCTGACATTCCTTCACGAGAAATGAAAACGTGTCCGCACAAAACTTGAAACAACTCAGATTTCCATCAACATGTGCGTCCTTAGAAAGAAACGCCACTTGCTGCAAAGGAACACAGCAGTGATGCACACTTGGTGCTGGTGCCTCTTGAAAGCTTTCCGCAAAGGGAAGTGAGCCAGGCGCAAGATGACATACTGACTACGGGAAGCCTTGGACGTGGCCAGGCCTCAGGGACAGAGACTTGAGAAGTTGCTGAGGCCTGGAGTCGGGATGTGGTTGACTGTGGAGTGTGGGAGAGTTTGGGGGGTGCCACACAGGCTCGGCACTCTGATGTGGTAGCTTCATAACTTGCCACGTTTGTCAGAACTCACTGAATTACAGGTTTACAATTGTGAATATTAATGCTTGTAGGTTACGTATTAATAACGCCTTTTAAAAATATATGCAACACATACACACATGCACTTTTCCTGCCAAAAAAGCTCGTTGGATTGGGGTTCTGTGAGAAATTGTCAGGCTTGTCAGGAGGTAAGAGTGGACGTTAGGTAGAAGATAAGTGATTCCATTTTGATCTTGCCAATTTTGAAGTGACATAATGCAGTAAAAGAAAAATTAATGTCAATTTGTAACCTGTTCTTTGCATTTGAATTCTTGTTTAGAGACAACTATTTTAAGCTCTGTTGTTTTTTTTTTTTAACCTTAAAGTCTTTTTCCCCCTTATTGAACTCTGTTTTGTGATAATTGACAAGCTCCAATCTTCCCACTATTAATTGAAGTTGTTTGTGAGCACACGTGATAAATCCATGAATAGGCAGCAGATTGTACGTTTCCTAAATTACTTCCTATTCATGGCCTGGCCTCAGAGGTGAGCTTTAAGAAAACCCAGCATATTACAGTCCAGCCCAGTAGGTGAGTGAGCAGTGCTCATACTGCAGATTTTCCCTTTGCACATTCACGCCAGAGGTCCTTTAAAGGAGGACACAGTGCTGGTGCATTTAATGGTTATTTCAGGTTAGTAAGTCTTAAAGTGTGCATGGCAGTGTTAGGATTCCGAATTAAAAGCCAGTCAGTAGAGGACAGCAGTGCAGGAAAGGTGAATGGGAAACTGTGTACTTCAGTGTGTGTCTTAAGCCCTGTGAAGGGGTGAAGCCTCCGCCATCAGGGAGTGTGTGATGTGCTGCAAGGAAAAAGAGGACGTGTCGGAGGCTTTTCCCACCGACCGTGAGTGCGTTCAGAGAAGGAGCACTGGGGCGTCAGGGTAGCTGCAGCGTCTTTTAGCGCAGGTGGGCCCAAGGACCCCGGGGGAAGCCAGGTCACAGAAGAGGGAGGAGGGAGCTTTGTGGCCTAGCCATAGATTAGAAAACCTCCAAGCGGAAACTCAGGATGTTAGATGGTGAACAGGAGGGGGAAGGCCTGCAAAGCCCAGAAAGTCTGAGCTCTGTGCTGTCGGGAGCAGGGGTGGTGATGGCAGTTGCAGCTCCAGAGGTGGGCGGAAGAGCTGGAGCCTGCGGTGGGGCACCTGTGGAGCACAACACCGCTGAGTTGCTCACTGTGCCCCAAGGCTCGTTCTCTAAGTGCTCAGCACGCCCTCAGGGAACTTCAGAAAGTGGCAGTGGAACATGGGGGAGTCAGCCCAGCAGACACCAGGAGTGTTCTCTGTGGGACTGTGAGTTAAAGCAGGAACTCAGCACAGCCCTCCCTGCGAGTCGTGGAATAATGCATTTGTGTATCTGCTTGGCACGGTGTTGCACTGGGAAGCCATTCTACTGACGGCCATCAGGGCTGAGACCACGCCTGGGTCTTGTGGCTCCTCCTCGTAGGCTGTGGCTAAGTGGCATCCCCCGTGAAGGAGCTGCCTCCCTCATTGATGAATGGGCTGTCAGGCCCAGGAAGTGTCTTTCTAAGCACCCCTGTAATTTGTGTGATGTATGCGATCCTATAAGTCTTTTGTTGAAATTCGTGAAAATGAAACAATAGAAAACAAGTATGGGGCCAGGTGCCGTGGCTCATGCCCGAAATCCCAGCACTTTGAGAGCCGAGGTGGGAGGATCACTTGAGTCCAGGAGTTCGAGAGTAGCCTTGGCAACATGGCAAAACCTCATCTCTAAAAAAAAAAAAAAAAACACCAAAAAATAAAACCATAAATTAGCCAAGTAAGGTGGTGTGCCCTGTGGTCCCAGCCGTTCATTCAGGAGTCTGAGGCGGGAGGATCACTTGAGCCCGGGAGGCAGAGTCTGCATTGAGCCGAGATGATGCCACTGCACTCCAGCCTGGGTGACAGAGCCAGACCCGGTCTCAAAACAAAAAGGAAATAAGTATAAAGATCACTAAATTTCAGTCCATCAAGAAATGGTTTGAAAACTCTAAAAACAAGTTGAATCTATTTAATGTAAACTCTGGAGAGGGGTACAGGGGAAGCAGCTTGAGCAAACCACCGCTCCCTGATGGAATTGTTCCGCAGTAGAAGAATGCGAGTTCGGGAGAGGGCTACCCGCCAAGCAGGTTATTAGTGCCTCTCAGATTGGTCAGCCTGGAAATAGGAGGTGCTTTGCAAACCACAGTGCTCACTTACTCCCCACACTTGGCATGGACGGCTCATTCTGGATGTAAAATAACGCAGAGAGGGGATAAACTGCATCAGCCCTTTTCATTATGGTCCTGAATATTCCTTTTTCTTGTTTCTTTTTTAGGTTTAGAATTACGGACGCGGCAAAGCAAACCTCAAGATGCCTCTTGCCTGCCAGCGTTGAAAGTTTCGGATATCGAGCCCACCATACCTGCCACGGAGCTGGACGTGGTCCTGACAGGTCCTTGGGAACACTGCTTTTCATGGGGGCTGGGGTTCCTTTGTGGAGTGAAATGTCACTCCTCACAGCAGCAGTAGAGTCACATCTTGGAGGTGCTCCCTGCTCACTCATAGTCTTGGCCTCAGCATGTCTTATACCTAGTTTCTAATTCTCAGTGGCCATAGACTCCGTCACTCAGTAAGAGCCTATGTGTGTGTTTCTGAGAGTGGGTTTGATAGGGCGCTCTGATTTGCTGCTTCTAGAATCATGAGGATTTGGGTTATGCTGTGACTGTATTAAGTGCAGTTTTAAAAATAGAGGCATCCTCAGAGCCCCTTGTCCCAACTGTTCACCCTGCCGTCCACATAGAGAGGAAGTCGGGGGGCAAGAGCGCCTCGAGAGAGTGGGCGTGGAGCTGAAAGGGATTCGGAGGCCAGGTGCACCCCCTGCCTCGTTTTGGCATTTCTTGCTGTGGTGCGTTTCATTCATGGTAATTTTTGCCCCGTGTCTGTCACTGCTTTTGAGTTCTCAGGGCACCTCCTTTCTCTGGCTCCTGGCTTGTAGCAGGAGAGGCATCTATAGGGTAACCTTACCTGGGACGGTGTTGATGCTGAGCTTGCCAGTGGGTGTGGCCAGGTGTTACTGAGCTGAGGGGAGCATGGCTGTCACTTGCATCTCAAAGATGGGGATGAGATTTCACCCTGGGCATTCCTGTGTCCTGTGAAGCGTCTCCAACCCATTTTTATCTTCCGGCGGCACTCACCGTGCTTCTGTCTGATTTCTTTTTGCGTGTGTGTGCACTTGTGAGAATCGAGGCAAACATCCCTCTGATCTATTAACCCCTGCAGTTTTTATGTCCTGAGTCTCATTAAGTGTTCACTAAAACAATGAGTGACAGTAAATGAGACATCCGTTCATGCCTTGGTGTCTCTGCTGGTCTGGGGCGCTCTGCTAGGTAGGAACATACAAAGCTGAATGCTCAGCCCTTCCCTCAAGAGGTCAGGAGGAGTGGGGGGTGGGGGCACCAGGAGCCTTGTTTGGAGCCCTCGGGTGGCAGGGCCTGTTGGGGAAGATGAGCAGTGCTGAGGACGGGTGTGATGTGGGCCCAGGGGCCATCGGGGGGACCTGGTTGGAGTTCTCTGTGGTTGTTGGGGAGAGGTTGGGTAAGGAAGGTGGGGTGGAGAGAGGCGGGCGCACCTGCTGGAACTCACAGTTATGAGACCAGCAGGCCGTGGCTCTGTCCTTCCTTTCCCATTCCTCGGAGAGCGCAGGTTGCTCTACTATTGAAGACAATTCCGGATGTAATCATGAAAATGCAACAGGGAAATTTATATAAACTCTAAGTCTTGAATTTCCATTCTTGAAAAGCAGTAGCATTGTTTTTTAAATATTAAATATGGTTAAAATTATACTGGCAGCAGTAAACATTAAATCCTTTTTGTTTTCCTAGCTGGAGATATCCCTGTTCAGTACTGCTCTCAGCCCACCAATGGCGTGGTGTATTTCCGGGCCTTCTGCAGCCTGAACACCCTCCCCGAGGAGCTGAGGCCCTACGTGCCCCTCTTCTGCAGCGTCCTCACCAAGTACGAGTTGCAGCATGCCCTTGTGTCTTACTAATATCTGCTTTGTGTGCATATCTCTATTGTTGTAATGCATCAGTAGGAATTACCTTCAGTGAGTCACTACTTAACAGTGTTAATGTGTAAGTAAAGTGTACAGTATGCTGGTTTAGAATTTGTTTTTATGAAAGTAACATTTTCTTACTATAGTACATTGAAATATTTATGAATCCCCGGCATAATATAAGGAGATGCTTATAGATCTCTGTCTCAGCATACTAATCTGTTACGCTTTGGCAAGGAATGATTGTTTAATCTGAAAGTTTGGGTAGTTCAGTGTGCAGTGTGGCCCGAGGCTGCCTTGGGGACAGATGGATGTCCTGCTGTCTGCGTTGCTCTTCCGAGCTGACTGCATTGCTGGCGTCCTCCCAAGGTGGTGTGTGCACAGATCTGGAAACACACACCCGAGTGCACACATCACCACTTGTCCTTTTGCCCTGCCCTGCCAACTTGAGGGTTGCAGGACAAGCAGTAGACAGGGCTGTGGGCGTCCGTTCCTATCCAGGAAAATCAGGTGACAGGGAACCCTACAGCCAGCTTCGGGGGCCGTTGCCCAACCTGGCGAGCATCCGGCGTCTTCGCTTCGTGACAGTGAAGTTGTCCTCATGCTGCAGAAAGCTACCTGGCTGTGATGCCTTCTGCACCCTGGTTGAGGATCTGCTCAGATGGAAAGTGTCTTCAGGGTTTTGAAAGGCCCCCGGCTTTCTTTTTAAATAGAGGGCCACTGCTCATCCTTTCGCAGCACCTTAGAAAACACTTACAGTTGTTCCTTGACTAAGTTAATGACTTCTGGCATTAGCAGTATCACTAGAAGCATGAGTGCTGAGATGAAGATGCTTTTCTTAAAAACTTAGTGTGTAGTCTTTGGACTCCCCTGCTAGGCTACCAGACATTTGAGAGAAGGAAGTTTGTATCACAGGGAGTGGGCGAAGAGAGTAGGGGGTATTCATGAAACATTTACTTAGACGATCACGCCTGGAAATGCATATTTTAGAATGCTGTTTTGAGTGCAGAAACAGGCCTCCCAAAGTGTCTTGTGCCCCTGGACACTGACTTCTTAGGCATGAGAAGCTGGTGTCTCCCTGGGAGAGAGCACGTGAACTCCTGAGGGCAAAGGCCAGAGTGTGTTCCTGCTTTATGACCTTCGAAGTGTAAAGAGGTTGGGAGAGCTGTAGTTATTGAATTAATGTAAGCAACTTGTATTTAAAGATTCACAGTTTTAAAAATGATTCTGTCAAGATTTCCTTGTAATCGGCGCGATGCGTCTCTCCTCTGTCAGGCTGGGCTGCGGCCTTCTTGACTACCGGGAGCAGGCTCAGCAGATCGAACTGAAGACTGGAGGGATGAGTGCTGCTCCCCACGTGCTCCCCGACGACTCACACATGGACACCTACGAGCAGGTAGCCTGTCACTGTCAGATGACGGCTGTGGTGAAGTTTTTCTCCAGTGGCTTTCTGTTACTGTGCAGTTCGCCCCTAATTCCATTCCTCCGCTGTGTTTTCTGTGTTTCAGGGTGTGCTTTTCTCCTCTCTCTGCCTGGATCGAAACTTGCCAGACATGATGCATCTATGGAGTGAAATATTTAACAAGTAACTGCATTTGAAGAGTTGTCCATTCTTGGGCTGTTCCAGACATCTTCGTTTGAAATACTTTAAAGTAGACAATTTTACTTGTATTGGTTGTTGACTTCCAAGTGGTTTTACTTGTTATTCATATGGACTTAGAAAATTTCTTTGGTTGGTGAAATAGTCTGAAAACTTATTCTTAATAAATTGTCCATGATATTGAAGGGGCATGATGAACGGGTCTCCAGGAATATATTCTTTGCCTTTTTTCATAGCCCGTGCTTTGAAGAAGAAGAGCACTTCAAAGTGCTGGTGAAGATGACCGCCCAGGAGCTTGCCAATGGAATTCCCGACTCTGGACACCTGTACGCATCCATCAGGGCTGGCAGGACCCTCACGCCCGCAGGGGACCTGCGGGAGGCCTTCAGTGGGATGGATCAGGTGGGAAGCCTGGAAGGAACCTGTGCGACTCTGGTTTAGCCACATGTTCCAGAGTTGCTGATTTCTTTGGGAATACATTAATGTCTCAAATGCTAACTTTCTAACTGACCAAATATAGGGAAAAATTGGTTGGTTGGGGTTTTTTTGTTTGTTTGTTTGTTTGTTTGTTTGTTTGTTTTTTTTTTTTTTTTTTGAGACGGAGTTTCGCTCTTGTTACCCAGGCTGGAGTGCAATGGCGCGCGATCTTGGCTCACCACAACCTCCGCCTCCTGGGTTCAGGCAATTCTCCTGCCTCAGCCTCCTGAGTAGCTGGGATTACAGGCACACGCCACCATGCCCAGCTGAATTTTTGTATTTTTAGTAGAGACGGGGTTTCACCATGTTGACCA